TTCGCAAGAGATGTTACCCGAATGAATTGTGCCAAAATAGATATGTTATATTTATATGGTGAACGAAAACGTTCAAATTCTTTACAAGAATATTTTCCCAATGCAGAAATACATTTTTCTGGATTCATGGGAATATGAAAAAAGAAAAATATTCAATTAAACAAAAAGAAAAGAAAATAAGAGCAAATGGTCTTGTCAATTGTTGAAAGAAAAGAAAATCTCTATAGTAAGGAAAATTCTTATGTGTGATATGTAAAATTTGTGAAATAAATTTATTTTATGTGAATAAATATATGTATAGTGTATTGAGTTGAAAGATAAGATTTGGAGAATTTCTTTGTTTAACAATAAATTTATTTTATGACAAAGATATGTAACATGATCAATAGTATGATCGCCATGATTTTCGGTACTGTGTATTCATCTTCTAGCAATTGTTAGATTTCATGATTGTAGAAACTAACCGGTTGTGATTCAAAAACCGGAGAGTGCAGTAAGAACTGAATTCATTCAAGTCTTTGTAGTGTTTATTGCATAGATGAATTTGAAGAGGTCAAAACAAATGATGATTTTTCAATGTAAGATCTGATGAACATCGTCCATGTTCAAGAACTTCCTATATCAATGGTTAAGTCTTTTGTTGAGTCAACTTTGCAAGGTGTGATTTTTCACGTGATCGATGAGAATGACGCGTATTTGATTTGTCGAAACTTGGTTGCCTTTGAAGTAGAACTTCGTTTAGACGATACTATTGTTAAAAGTAGACACTAGCGGTACTCATCTCACTGGTATCTCCAAGCTCAAAATTGGTAACATCTTTGATGTTGTTCATGATGCATAACGCTATCTGGTTTGAATATAGTGCCTAGCTTGAAAATGTGTGTTTGCAGTGAATTTAATATTCTCAGATCCATACCTTCCTGTCCGATTGATACAAAGGGCACGGTAGACTCATGAATTTCAGGAACTCCACTGATCATGGGAGTCCTGGAGTTCATGCTCTTAAAAATTCGCTGCTGTTCGCAGGCAATTATTCACGATGTCCCGTGGGCTTAGCGCCCGTTGGGGCCAACCACTGATCGGATAATGTTTTTCCATTGTCTCCGATCCTGTGTCAGGTGGAGCAGGTCCTGTCCACTGCGTCCACACCATTCTATGATATCGTCCAGCCATTCTCTGCATGGACGTCCTCTTTTTGATTTACCATTGACTCGAGAGAATACGGTGTGTTTTATCAGCCTATCATCATCCATTCGACCGATGTGGCCGAACAACTACAACTTTCTTCTCATGATGTTGTCAATGATGTTTTCCTGTCTCTCTACAAGTAACATGGACTCATCATCATAATCAAGATATCCGTCATCAAGTTGAACAAGCAAAATTACGATTAACAACTGATGTTAAGTTAGAAAATAAGAAAATTCCATATGATTTTTTTAAATTTATTCTTTGTATTTTAGTTACGAAGTCAAGCTAAAATGAACTTGAATCATATAAAGACTCGTGTTGGACCTTAAATTGTCACTTTTTTTTTTATTGAAATATACAAACGGCAGGAAAACAGGGGGGTGCATACACATCATTAGCATAATAACTGCACTAAAACAAAACAAAGAAATTATCAGGTTGCAGGATTAATATGATTGTTTTATAGTTTAATCATCATTATCATCGTCATCTTTCTTCTTTGTATCTTGTTTTTTAGCATGACGATCAGCTGTGCGATAGGATTCTTTTGACGAGGATGATGATGATGATGATGAACTATCATGTTTCCCAACAGCAGCAATAATACGTTGTTCAGATTCTTTTAATTGTTCCTTGAATAAATCCATAATATTATGGACATCAATAGTAATAGTTGCATCGTGTTCATGATGTTCTTTATGACCATGACCAAATTTTTTCTCGTGATGGTCAACTTCTATTAGATATAATATTATATGATACAATAGCGAAGAAAAATATTTCAATTACCTTTGCTAGTATCGTCGCTATCTTTTGATTCAGCAGCAGCTGTTACTATCAAAATACAATATAGATTATTGGTTATTTTCTACTCGTTGAAAATCTTACCTGGAGCGCTATCAATACTTGATATAGTAGTTTCTACTACTGCTGCTACGGAATCATCAACAGTTGTAATATCCTCTGATGCTTGTACATAGTTAGCTAAAATACAAAAATTATATTTAGAAAAACTTCAATATGAATTTGCGATCAAAATTTTGAAAATATAACTGTAGAAATCAAAACAAACCTGCAACACATACGACTAATAAAGCAACTAATTGAAGATGCATTATATTTTTGATAGTGACGAATACGATAGTGACAAGTAAATGAAGAGAAAATGATCATATGTGAAAACAACACGCGTATTTATAGTTGTGTGGTACCGAAGAGAGAGAGAGAGAGAGAGAGAGAGAGAATGAGAGAACAGATAAAATAAGATTAATCAGTTCTTCGCATTGTTTGGAGAAAATAGCATAGTGAATATGTTGCTCGAAAAGTCAGGACATCATGCGTTTATTATTTTGAGTAGAACGCCAAGTTAAAAGTCGAAAGGGCAACATCGAATATAGCACAGCTGTCTCATTTCCATCTACACACTACTGATTAGATATAGAAATGAGCAGATGCATGTTTACAATAGTCACTGATGGGGCACGAACATTAGTCCGCTCCGAACACCGTTATTTGTTCAGTGAAACGATAACGAGCAGTAGAGTTAATGAATGGATCATGAAAGAAAAGATATGAAAGCTATCAGAAAAACTACATTTGTTTATCTGTCAATCAGACAGAAAAAAAATGTGAAAGTAAATTAAAGTACTAATGAACAGATGTTCAATCTTAAATCAATGTAAAATGTTAGAAAAAATAAATTGTTCTTTACAAAAAATACAACCAGCATATGAGATTATAAATATATTTCATCTTCGTCACAAAAAAATTATAAACTAATTAAAACAAGAAGTAAATATTCTCTTTCTATTCGTACTTATAGAGATAAAATTTACTTTGAATAAGACTTTCAATAGATGAAAACAAATATAGAACTAATGATATTAGTATAGCTGTTCTTTTTTCAGTTCGTTCTCACTGTCATTTATGATAATCGATAGAATATTATATATTATAAAGAAAGATTTATATGACAAGAGAATAGATAATTCTTTGATGTCTGCTAAAATTTCTAGGTCAATGAATCGGAAGAAATACGTCATAAGTAATTGTTCACTAATTCTTTTCAGACAATTTGGGTTTACATATATATGATAGTTCATCATTTTGTGAGCTGTCTGATAAGTAACTAGATTTGTTCGATTGTATAATATAAACTATGAACCATTGAAATGATTCAATTCATCAAATGAGAGAATAAATGTTTCTAATACTTTTCAGAACTTCAACATTCCATAAAAAGTGTTTAATGATGGATACTGATGCTGTCAATTCTAAGCTATTCATATGAATTGAAACTGAGACAGATTTTCCATAACGTTATGAGAAAAATTGTTAGAACATTCTTCAGATTCATTTTTTGGTTTACCTAATATATATTTTTTTTTAACTTTTGAAAATTCCAAAATCAATTTACTGATGTGATGACAAGTAAGAGATTTATGATTTTAAACAATATTTGATATGTTATCCATCGAATTATTCGACAAAAACAAAACAGCAGATCTGTTAATGAAAATATTCTATAATTATGTAGAATTTTTCAAGGTGATTTTGAAAGCAATGAGAAATAAAGAGAGTAATAATAAAATTGGAAAGCATCTTTCTCTCTTAGAATTCGATCTTCTGTGTTATTTGTCTTCTTATATTGTTTCACATATCTTTTGTTCTGTTTTATAGTAAACTAGCAGTAGGAAGAACTAATTAAAATATGAGAAGTAGTCCTTGCAGATGAATCAAATTGAGGAAATAAATAGGATTTTTCATAATCGCATGTGTTAATTTCTTGATGAATGAATGAAATAATCATTCTTTGTTTAGTTATTTTCTATTGGTAGCTTCATGATACTCGAGTAATTATGGATACCCTTAACATAGAACATGTATGTCATTGATTATTTTCACAGATTCTCTTTTAGCAACATGAATTTCTATTTATAATAAATTCAATCATAGAAACATAAGTGCATGACTTGAAAAACTCTAATAATAATGAGCACGACATACTTATACATATATTTTTTAGGCATATATTTAACTGATGCTGATGATTCAAAGTTTATAATAATGACAGAAATCGAAGCAAACATATGTAAACGTAGAATACTATTTTCTGATATTGAGATAATTCCAAACTTTTATATTGTAGTCACAAGTAATAGTCTTTATTGATTATATATAAACTTTGTCCTTAGGAAGAAAACTTACAGGTCTCCTTTCTCAAATTAAAAAAAAATTATTTGGTTGTTTGATCAATAATGGAGTTATACAAATTTATTAAGTGATCAGGGCTTTTGAGACACCTGTATTCGTTTTAATATGTTAACAAACATAGGCTAACGTTTGATTGGCTTACTATAGATTGGATCTGATTGTAAATTGTTTGATTAGGGATCCAGACTAGAGAGATATGAAGAACCAAATTTTTCTAGATGTATCTTAGAGAAATTCTTTAGAATTGTGGCAGTGGCTCATAGGATCCTTGCCTTTTCTAGGATGATGATGCCGACAAATACTTGGCCATGCTAGACATCTTCGTCATTTACTAAATTCTATTATTTAAAATAACATAGATTATAAAAGCTCAAATGAATGTTCTGTTTTCCTCGAAACAGTCTTGAATATCATATCTTGTCTACGAATAATTCTCAAAAAAAATTCATCTCTAATCAAGTGCTGTAAATGTTAACTTTTCAAACACTAAATTCCTTGGAAAAAAAAGCATCAAAATTGACTCTCCATAGAAACTCTGTGTTCCGATACAAAAGAAGACTATTGCTTAATAAATCTTAGTATAACTATATCATGGAAAATATTTTAATTTCAATTTACTATTAATTAAATTCTTCAAATAAAATTCAATTCGAAAAACTATTTCTACAAATATAAATTCCTTTGAGTCTACCATTACAACTGAATTGTTCAAGTACACGTGGTCAAATGAATCATATCAGATTAAAAAACAAATATCCTTCATTTGAATTCTTTGTTTCAATGTTTTATTGTCGAACCTTTTCTTTTTGTTTTATGAATTTGATAAAATTTCGTTGAGTATTTTTTTAAATGTATTCATAAATTTTATTAATTGTTCTTTATAAAGTTGATCAATAGTTCTAAATATTCTTTTTTTTTAAAAATAATATTAGCTTTTCAACTGGATGTTCTATCATTTGGAATCATGATTGATAAATTAACAATTTCTGCTGAAAACAAGAAAAAACAATTTCATTGATAAAAACTAAAACCACCAAAACTAGATATTGTATTTTAAATGTCATGCTTAGAGAAAAATAAACTCATGAAAAACAGATGTTAGAGTAACATGTTCTCATTCTTCAAATGGTGCCTGAATGTTACAATTAATTTCTCTTACAAAGGATGCAAAAGACTCTTACCATCTTTTCATATCTAAAACGACCATTTGTTGTTGTTTATAAAAGTGCAATAACATGATCATTTCATAGATTCAATTTATTTGTCATTCGCTATTGATCAACTGAATATTGAGCGTCATCAACATGAATGAATGATAGTAAAATTAGATGATGCTTTGCAATTTGTTTTAATTCCTAACAAATAAAAACCAAGTCTTGTTGTGATAAAGAAAAAATTTTAAAAAAATGCTTTTTTTTGTTACCAAATTTTAGATGTTGAACATCTATATTGATTAAGTTATTAACATAAGTTGCTTTTCAAAATCATAAATCTATTACTTTTTCGACAAGATCAATTATTAATAGAAAATCAAGGCGAACATCCATAAATTTTTAATCAATATTGTTCTTGTTCAAGAATAGACATTATATGATTAAGCAATTATTGAAGTATTTCATTAGTATAATTGACACATAATTATTTTAATGAATTTCATTGAAACATTTCGATATTAACTTTATCAAATATATCCATAGATGATGAATCTTAATGTTTATTTCGATTGAGAGATTTATTTGTACTTGTTACAATTCATTTTAATATATGTTTATAAAAATAACTTTTCATATAACTTCAATAATATAATCGATCTAATACAATATATAACATATTGTATCGAATATCGATCATTGATTGGCAAGTGTTTGATTAATGAATAATCTAGACTTAAAACAAACAAGAATGGATATTTTAGTCTGTACTCGTAATTAAGAACATTTCAGTTCCATTGAAATGTTTCGAGTCTGATGAACAAAATAAAATGTATTCAACGTTGAAAAGCAGTTGTTTTGATTTTGTGTCTAGTGCTTGAATAGGACAGGAAAATTAATTAATCAATCTAATTATTGATAATCGAAGTGAAATTTTCTTATGAAAAATCAGATAAAAACTAACTCGTAATTTAGTATCATTTTTTTTGAATAAAAATCTGTCATTAAAACCAACTCGTGTAATTGTTTTCCTTACATATAACATAATTAATGAAATTCATAATTCTAAGAGATCAAATTTATGAGAAAATAGAATTTTTTTTTGCAAGAAACGGCCAGAAGAAACCGAGTTAAACATTGTATTCTTTGTAAAACTTCTAATAAGTACTATCGGCCAAACTTCCGATATTAATTGATCTCGATCGGTGCAAAATTTGAGTTATTCATCCATATGATTTATATGCATCGTTAATAAAGCGTTGAAATATGAATATATAAGGGAAAAAATACTCTTGCAGCTGAATACGAAATTTCAAATGAATTTTATATTTTAGCGTCTATTCTTAAACTTTGAACTTCATTTTCCTAAATGATTAGAGAACCATCTTTGAATTAATAAATTTTAACTTTAACAAATTGCCAATTGAATTCACCAAATGCTCACTTGTGCTATAAAATAAATAAATAAAGAAAGAAACAATATCATTTTTTTTCTATCATATGACATATGAGATAAACACAACATTCATTCTTTCAATTCATCGTCAATTTTGGCTAGAGAAAAATATATTCTTTTTTTTCATTGACGACATCGGTCACATAAAAAGATGAGTATATATATGCATAAAAAGGTTGACTTTTCATAAGTTGAAAACAATCGATAAGTGAAAATAAACATGGAATATTCATGCATTGGACTACATGATTTACCTGATGAAATTCTTATGATTATTTTCAAAAAACTCGACAATTTTGATGTACTTTTTACTTTGCACGGTGTTAATGAACGACTAAATCGGCTTATTAAGGATTCAATTTTTACAAGTCGTTTGACTTTTGTTGAATGGATGTCAAATAATTTTATTGATCTAATTTCTTCTGACATGATCCTTAATCGATTTCGTTTACAAATTTTACCTGAAATTCGTCATAAAATCGAATGGCTTGATCTTGAATCATCCTCTATGAAATATGTTTTACGTGCTGCTCATTATCCGAACTTATACGGTCTCGGTCTTTATAATATTAATGAAGAATCAGTTCGATGTCTTTTTACTGGTAAGACAATTTAATTCAATCATTTTTATTTTAAACCAAGGTGAACGACTTATTAAACTAATAAAGATAACTAGATCAATTGAAAATATATTGATATTATTTTCATAGACATGTTTTTCTAACTAATACTGTACATACGTATGTATTTAGATGAAATTCTGTCATCTGGCATTTTCAAAAATCAGATTACAACACTTTTAATTACGACGAATAAAAATGATGATTATCATGAGGCATCATTGTCAGTGGAAGAAATATGTGTTTACATCTTCAATGTTTGCGCGCGTCTGACGGCTTTAACATTTTATGAATCATCGCATAGAAGTCCTCTTCGATTCAATTTTGCGGAACTGTCACCTCCCAATCTTTATTCTTCAAGCCTTTTGATATTAAATATCAGAGTACAATGTTTCGCAAATTGTCTCTATCTTCTTGATGGTCGTTTTAGTCAACTTCATACGCTCCATGTTGATATGGTTAATACTTATTGTCCACGAAACTACAAAAATCAGGTTAGTTTTGCAAGAAATATCTCTATATTATCGAATAACAAAATTCTTTTTAGGGCGATTTGCCAAATCTAAGATGTTTTTCTTTGTCTTGTGATTTCGAAATTTCGAATTATGATGAAACAATCCTACCATTACTATATCGGATGTCCAATCTAGAGGTACTTGGTTTGTGTTTTACCGTCTGTGATCGTAAGACATTTATTGATGGAAACGATTTGAAGAGACGCATTATTAATCGTATGTTACGCTTAAATCAATTCACATTTTATATTAGTTCATTGATGTATATTGACAATAAAATGAATTTGCCATCGAGAGATGATATTCAACGCACATTCATTGACTTTCCAAACGATCAAATTATTTCTTATGTTGATTATTTTTCAGAGGAAAAAAGAAGTCAATGTCATATTTACTCATATCCATCTTTAATGCCGTATTGTGGTAGTATTACAAATAATTTTCCAGGTGGATTATTTAAAAATGTTCGTACGGTATTCTTACACGATGAATATCCTTTTGAACATGAATTCTTTCTTCGAATTGTTCAATCATTTCCATATATGCAAGAATTATGTGTGAACAATTTTAAATCACAAAATCGTAAACATTCTGATGAATCAAGCAATGATAATCAGAATTTATCTGTTATTAAATATTTTTTTCTTAGTGAACTTCGTCTTGTCGATGTTCATGATGATTACATGGAAGAATTTTTATTTGATACCAAAGCGTGTTTGCCAAAAAATGTTAGTCTTCATCTCAACTATGAATCTTTACAACGAGTAACACACTACTTCGCAAGAGATGTTACCCGAATGAATTGTGCCAAAATAGATATGTTATATTTATATGGTGAACGAAAACGTTCAAATTCTTTACAAGAATATTTTCCCAATGCGGAAATACAATTTTCGGGATTCATGGGAATATGAAAAAAGAAAAATATTCAGTTAAACAAAAAGAAAAGAAAATCTCTATAGTAAGGAAAATGCTTGTGTGTGATATGTAATAATTTGCGAAATAAATTTATTTTGTGTGAATAAATATATGTATAGTGTATTGAGTTGAAAGATAAAATTTGGAGAATTTCTTTGTTTAACAATAAATTTATTTTATGACAAAGATATGTAACATGATCAACAGTATGATTGCCATGATTTTCGGTACTGTGTATTCATCTTCTAGCAATTGTTAGCTTTCATGATTGTAGAAACTAACCGGTTGTGATTCAAAAACCAGAGAGTGCAGTAAGAACTGAATTCATTCAAGCCTTTGTAGTGTTTATTGTATAGATGAATTTGAAGAGGTCAAAACAAATGATGATTTTTCAATGTAAGATCTGATGAACATCGTCCATGTTCTTGAGGGTGTGGGTGTGGGTGCGGATACGTGACTTCCTTATACACACACTCTCACCCACACCCACACGCCAGTTTTAAAAAAACATTCACATAGTGTATTTAGAAGTAACCACTAGAAAATAAGCTCATTCATTTCATCAGTCAGTAGATCATAAGAAAAATGATTGACATTTCTACATATATCAAATAATACCAATTCTATTGGTTAGTTCATTTTAAATTAGCCGAATTGCAAAATAACTTGACTGCATCAATATTTGTTCGTCATTCTTCTCATAGACGGCGATGAGATGTATAGGTATACATCGAGATAAATGTATTGTATGAGTTTGTTATAGACATGAATACATTGAATAATAATGATTTCAATATACTTGATTTACCTGATGAAATTTTGCTCGCCATTTTAAATAAACTCAATACCACTGATGTATTTCATTCACTTGTTGATGTTAATCAACAATTTGATCGATTAACACTTGATTATCTTTATGTTCGTAATATTGATATGACTGATACAATGACCATTAATTCACTGTATGATCAAACATCTTCAATAGATACTAAAATTCTTTCAAAAATTTGTGAAAAAGTTTTACCTCGTATTCATCATCAAGTATATAAACTGACTATTGAACAATATTCAATGCAACATATTATTCTTGCTGCCAACTATCCTCAACTTTATTCTTTATCACTTACTAATTTTCAAGAAGAAATACTTTATCAATCTTTAATAGGTATACTATTTGATTTCGTTCGTCATTAACTAGCAAAATAATGAATTTAATTATTATCAGAATTCTTAAAACAAAATGTATATAACTTTTTAACAGAGACAACTAGAGACCTGTAGTCTTCATCACTTGAAAGAACGGATTGGTAACGTTACCCTGTCCTTTCGAACGACGAAGAACGCAGGTCTCTAGTTGTCTCTGTTAAAAAGTTATGAGTATCTTGTTTAATGAACTTCTTTTAAAATTTCGATAATACATGTAAATTAATAATTATCTTTGATTTCTTTTAATTAAAGATGATTTAATTCTTCGCGATCTTCTTACCAAACAAATAACACATCTTAATATTGATATTAAAAAGCCAACACAACATTGTTCGATAACCGTTTCAAAGATTTTTGAATTAATCTTGTGTTTATGTAAAAAATTAATTGTTTTGAATTTCTGTGATATGTTTCCCACACGAACGTACGAGACTCCTATGTTTTATCTATTATCAACAACTCATATGTCTTCAACTTTAATCAAATTAAAAATCAATGTTGCAAGTTTAGTTGATTGTCTTTGTCTTCTTGATGGTCGTCTCGAGTTTTTATCAACATTAATTATTAATATTGGACAGATATTTGATCCAATATTAGATATAGGTTCAAGAGTAAGTACATTTTCAATCATCATCTTCTGCAAGATAAATATTAAACTAAATAAATCATTTTTATTTTATTTACTTTGTAGAAAAAGCTTCCCAAGTTGAAATATTTATCATTAACTGCGCCTAGTTTCACATGTTGTTATGATACTCAAATTGTTCCATTACTTTGTCGAATGATAAATCTTGAAGAATTGAAATTATATCTATCAGTAGCAAGATTTGATTCGACTTATGTTGATGGTATTCAATTATATGATCAATTTCTTATTTGCATGACACACCTAAAGAAATTCACATTTTGTATCAACACGGAAGTCTTCAACGATAAAGTTCGCGTTGAGTTTCCATCGAATGAAGATATTCAACGTAGTTTCATTGGAAGAGGATATCAACAAGTTACTTCATATGTTCGTACTAATTTAATGAAGACTGAAGGCTACTGCTTTCTCTATTCAGTTCCATATGATTTCGAAGACTTTGTTCAACTCAACAATTCTTATCAAGGTGGCAAGTTTCAGGCAGTTCGGCAATTAACGATGCATGATAAAATTCCTTTTGAACATAAATTATTTAAACTAATTTCAGAAGATTTTCCTTTTCTTCGATTCTTATATTTATCTAATCGTCATCCACAACAAGACAAGCAACATTCATCAACATTAATCACATTTCCTTATCTTACATCTCTCTATCGACAATATGCGCATGTTGACTATGTTGAACTATTTCTCTTGGAAAATAATGCTCATCTACCTCGTTTGTTAAATCTTCGTATCGAATACGAATCACTCACAACGATAACAAATAATTTTACCAATAATGTAACGTATTTCAATTTCGATAGATTGAGAAGTCTTGACGTATGTCAAGCATTTGTTCGTCCAGAAAATTTTCATCAATATTTTCCTTTGTTATAAGTGGTGTTAATAAACGAAAATCCTTTTAAAAAAATGAAATATTCTTTTATTTAAACTCTGCTGTGCCAAAGAACAGAGAGCATAAATACAATAATAATCTTTAATTCTCTTCTATACATAGAAAATGACTGACTTTGCTTCATATTAAGATATTTTATTGATGTGGAAAAAACACTTTGGTGTGAATTTCTCTGAGCAAACTATTTCTGCTGTTCTCTAGAATATTTGCTCATAATAGGAATTGAAAGAAAATATTTTGTCATTATAGGCGTATGACAAAAAAAGGTGATGTTACTCAAAGCTATTCGAGGAAATTCAATAGATATTCGACTGATTAAATACTAATAGATTTCATTTTCAATAGTTAATGAATTAAAAAAAGAATCATATGATTTACAAAGATGCAACTTTCCATTTGTTGATGACGATATTTATACTCTTCAAAATAAAAGTTATTTGTCACAATTGAAAATGTTCTCGAATTAACTATTGAGTTTTATCACTTACCGTTTCCATAGATGCTGCAACTTATAACTTTAACGGTAGCCATTGAAAAAGGACATTACTACCGCACTGAAGACTACGGTCAGGTTTTACTTTCCATTAAAGTCCAGTGATTGTGGGTGGGTGTGGGTGTAAATAAATCTCATGTCCACACCGACACTCTTCTTCGCAGGTTTCCATCAGCCTACTAGAACAACACCTTTCGATTAAATTAAAGAATTGTCAAATATTTTTTCTAATTATATATCAGATGTGAAGATGATGGTGGAGCATTGAGACGTGATATTAAAATTCAATATTTATTTTAGAACGAATGAATTTCAAATAAATTATTTTTATATGCGAAACGAGATAAATGATTTTTGAAAATGATTGCACAACTATAAGATTCGTTAAATATAAAGCAATAAATGTCAGTCATTTTCTATGTATAGAAGAGAATTAAAGATTATTA